ATCAAAGGCAAGGCAGTTGAAATATTATAAAATAAATATTAGTATTACCATGAATTTAATTGATAATGGTGGTGAATTATGAGGAAGCTGGCAAATGATCATGAAAAGAGGTGATGAATTAGTAGATTGTAGGTTTCAGTGATTTAGGATTATTATTTGGAAAGGAGGAACTGGAAGACAGGAGTTCAGTGTGGAAGAGTAGGATGTTTGAAAATAAGATTATGAAGATTTCACTCTTATTGTGAATGACAGGTCTCAGGATATGACTGTAAGGGGTGAGCGGCTGGTAAAAGTGTGGTGGATAGAATAAGAGTTGTTCCGGGAACTGAGAGGTAGGGTATTAGAGGAATATCGTAACGGTATTGAAATCATATAGAAAATAAGATAAGAGTTGTATTGAGAGAATGTAGTTGACAAGAGAAAAGTTATTGTTGAGCAAAGAAATCTTGGAGTGGTGGACTGCCTCCAAAAAGGGGGTTCAGAGTTGCTATAGTCTGATTAAGATAAGGCTTAAATTCAGGGAGTTTAGCCAAGGATGGTCTTGAAGTAAGCATGAATACAGGAAGACAATAATACCCTCCGCCCCTGCATGTAGACCAGTGGTTCAAGAACAATGATATTTGTTTTTAGAATTATCATTTATGAAATTATTATTATGAAGCTATTTTATTTCTGCTTATTTCTCTATTGAGAAAGCTAAGAATCTTGCTTTCCTACCGTACCATGAAGACATTTTATTCAAAGCCAAATATACATTTTATTTATTTATTTATTATTTATTTATTTATTATTTAAATTTATTTATTATTTATTTTTGAGACAGAGTCTCGCTTTGTTACCCAGGCTAGAGTGAGCTGCCGTGGCGTCAGCCTAGCTCACAGCAACCTCAAACTCTGGGCTCAAGCGATCCTCCTGCCTCAGCTCCCGAGTAGCTGGGACTACAGGCATGCGCCACCATGCCGGCTAATTTTTCGTATATATATAAGAGTTGGCAATTAAATTCTTTCTACTATTTATAGTAGAGACGGGGTCTCGCTCTTGCTCAGGCTGGTTTTGAACTCCTGACCTTGAGCAATCCGCCCGCCTCGGCCTCCCAAGAAAAACATTTATTTTTATTATTGTATAACTTTAAATGGCATTGTGATTATTTTCTAATTCAACCCAAATTGTAATTTCCTTCATTTTGTACATGCTAATTATTTTCATATGAGATATTGAAACTTGTCCCTATCAATTTGCAGTCAGTTAATGGTTGGTATATGTTAAAATGTTGTCTAGCAAATGATGTCTTCTAAAGATTGATATGTTCTTTTTTCTCTTAGTCTGGAAGAATCCTTGAAGAAAAATGCAATTGATATTATCTTTTTTTGTGTTAAAGGTTTTCAACCTCTGATATTGGATTTTCTTAAACTTTTCATATTTATTTGAGTTTTAAAGAAATGCTTTTCCTGTTTTAGATACCTGAAATGTTATTCAGTGAAATCAGTGGTGATGAAAAATATAATGAAAAAAAAAGAAAAGAAGAAAAGAAAAAAAATTCAGGTAATATTGTGATGAAATCAGTATTATCTGATTTTTATTTATGAAATAATTGCCATTTTTCTAATGCTATAGATCCATTAAAGATTTATGATGATGATGAGTTTGAATAATACACAATGTGACAAAATTAGATTTCTTCTGATGCAAACTAAATTTTGAAAATTTTTTATCTTTAAATTAATGTTCATGTCATTTAATATAGAACTCAACAGAATTTCTACTGTTTGAATTTAAGAAATTAAAAAATTATTTTTCTGACCCAGGTCATTTGAAGGACCTACTTATATTGTTAAGAGTCTGGCTAGTAGCTTTAACTTTCATATTAGCTTATTACTTAGATATGTTGTAGAACTCAATTCATCTATGAAAAAGTTTTATGATATTCTTTGAATATAGACATAATATTTTTGGAACTATAATCTCATTTTCTCCAGGTTTAAGTTAATTTTGAATGTGGTCTTTATACCATAGCTTATTCATTCATTTATCTAATCACCTAATCATCAAATACTTACTGAATTTGTTTTATACTAGGTGCTGGGCTGGATACTAGAAATGCCTTAAGTAGCTCATAGTCTAGTGATAGCGAGAATTATGTTATATATAAACAAAAAGCTCTGATATAGCAAGATTAGTGACAGTAAAAGTTTATATGAAGTGCATTGGTAAGTGAAACTTCTAACTGGAAGACATTACAGGAAATAGACATTGTTCTCATAGGCAGCTTGGGAAGGGCATTCTGGTCAGAGAATGGAAGAGGCTTGGAGAAGTAAAACAGGCATTTTTATGGAACTATAAAAAGCCTAAAGGGCTGAAACATAAGGGTGTATAAATAGACTACTAGATGAAGAGGAGAAGGTTAGTAGGATCAGATAATGAAGAGCCTTCCATGTTATGCTTTCCCTATTGGTACAGGGAGAAACAGAAAGCAATTAGACCACTTTAGGAATCTGAGGCAGTAATCTAAGAGAAACATGATGAAAGCCTGAACCAAGGAAGAGGTAATAACAATAGAGAGGAAGGAATGGACTTGGGGGATATTAGAGGTAATTTAAATGGGACTTGATTATGTAATGGTTGTGGCATACAAAGAAGGAGGAGTCAAGGATGTTTCTGGCTTGGTTCTGTCTTAGGAAATTTATTAGAAGTTGATTTCATTCACTGGAGTAGGAAATACAGAGGGAATTGATTGAGTCAGTAAGAGAAAGATAATGTGTTTGATCATGGACATATTGAATCTAATGTGAACTTCTTGTTAACTTTTTGCCTTCTGAAGTCCTGTTTCTTTCTCTATCAGATGGGATTGGATAGATGTTATTTGGTTTGGTATCTCTTTTCTATTCAAGCAGCTTTTATTGAGTTCACTTTTGTATTACTGCACATGCAGTATGTAGTCCCAATTAATTTATATGTTATGACAACATGTATATTTATCTTTCTTACATCTTTAAATAAAGATGACATCTCATATTTATAATAATATAGAGTAGAAGTATCTAGTATAAAATAACTATAGTTAAGATTATTTTTTATAATTCTTAATCGTGATTATAATAAGTCATTTTTATTTTCTATCTTTTTCTAGTTGATCCTGATTTTCTAAAATCATTTTTATTAATCCATGAGTCTTGTAAAGCACATGGTGCTACACCAAGCCGATATATGACCTTTTTACATGTGTATTCTGCCATTAGTAACAGCAAGAAAAAGGAATTATTAAAAAGACAAATGCATTTGCGGTTATAGTATTGGTTAATTTTAATTATTTTTTATCGTATATATAGGAAAACAAAATTAAGCGCAAATTCACATGCTGTGTGGATATACTTATTATAACACAAATAATGTATCGCTATATTACAATGTTTAGAAAATAGTCTCACTTTCATACTTATATTGGCCATTAGATTCGAGCTATTAGGTTTGGTATTTTCTTTCATTCAATAATTTATTCCTTTTCTTCACGGCTAATGTTATGTTGCTTTTGATAGCTTATCTGGGTTACTTGGACTGTTAAGGAGTCTCTTTAACATAAAAGCGGTCCTTTTACGAAAACTGAAAATGGTTCCGGATTTATTAATATAAAGGCATAAATATCCCAAGGAGGCTTCATACTTTTATAATAACCTTTAAAAGAAATTACATTTTCTAAAGGTTCACATGTGTTATCCATGTCACCACTTAGTAATTCGGGGCCGACAGTTTTTTCCTTATATTTCTCTAGATTGAACTGAGGCTTATAACTTAAATGTGGACAGAGTGCAGGCTTCTGTAGTTGTCAGGAGAGTAATTTCCCTGTTAAAGTTCTAGCTTTTTGTGAGGGTTAAAAACGTAGGGTCCATCTTATTGACATGATTATCTTTATCGTTTATATTGATTTACTTTCATTTTATATAAGCCACTTAGCTTACTTTACGGTCATTTAAATATTAAATGTCTAATTTCAATCAAAGATTTTGGTAATTTATTATATTCTCAAATAAGAATAGTATGATTAATCAAAGTATTTGTGCCTAAACTATTGAATAGTTTGCGCGATCTTTCCCACATAGAAGAAGAGGGGCACGAGTTTTTGATTACCTTGGGTTTTCACAAATAACTGTGTAGACTATTAAAAATTTTTTTTCTGAGGGTAATCACAACGCAACTGTGTT